AAGGGCTTCCATGAGAGGGAGCTCCGGACAACCCCTATCAAGGGTTTTTTTTTGCCTCCTCTTCCAGGCTGGTCAGACGTCTGGGAATGGGTGGGAGCACCCTCCCACACCGATTCACCCCCGCCACACGGGGCCTGCCGATCCACTAGCTGTGAGCGTAAACCGTTAATACCGCTGGGTTGGACAGACTTGGAGGGATTTAAGAGACGTGTGCCTTTGTTTAAACTGCCACACCAGGAGGTTGAACCAGCGACCTCTGGATCGCGAACCCAGTGTGCTGATCGTTACACCACAGCAGTGTCCCTGAATGGTGGGTGTTTCCACTAAATTATGGGCTCAGACTTAATTTGGTGTTGGGAGCTTAATTATGAGATTAAGAGGGAATCCATTCTTATTTTATTTGATGAAGTTTGTTCCAATAATCGTGAGGTGACGTGCTATAACACATTATGTGATTAACAGAGGAAGCGTCAAATACTCTATGTGAATTTTAAAGAGCTACTGTGATATAATCGCATGCCTAAAATGGCTCGTGGTTTACATTTCAGGCAAAGTCTGATTGAATATCCTTACCTGCTCTTTCACACCTACGATTAGCACGGTAGGCTACGTACGATGCGAAAGAAGGTCAACATATGTACACATACATATTCCTGGCTGTAGGTAATGTAACTGACAATTATTTCTGGATATAGAGGTCAGTCATGTGACTAATGGCAGTACCATATGGGGGGCAGAACATGTGATGGGCAAGGGGGGGGGGGGTAAATAATAACAGTCATAATTATCTGACATAAAGCTACGGGATTGTGTACAGAGCAGTCAATCTAGATCAATATGAACAGAAACAATCGTACACGAAGAAGGATTGGGAAGAGATCACAAACTGCGAAACAATTAAAACTCGATTACGTTCAGGGTAGAGGAGACATGTTAATTGTGAGTGGGTGAACAGAGGGTGGGAATCAGCACTACAGCTGGACATGAGGGAGTTCTAGACAGCATTCCAGAGTAGTAATAATAATAATTTACGTTTGTAAGGCGCATTTCGTCCATAGATCCCAATGCGACACCGTGTATGGAAAGCGGGAAAAAAAACAGAACCAGGGAAAACGGACAGAACTAAGCCAATCGAGATTTGAAGTTTTAGTGACTGCAGGGATCTATCGGTAAAGTCATGTACAGTGAGGGAAAAAAATGTTGATCCCCTGCTGATTTTGTACGTTTGCCCACTGACAAAGAAATGATTAGTCTATAATTTTAATGGTAGGTTTATTTGAACAGTGGGAGACAGAATAACAACAAAAAAATCCAGAAAAACGCATTTCAAAAATGTTATAAATTGATTTGCATTTTAATGAGGGAAATAACTAATTGACCCCTCTGCATAACATGACTTAGTACTTGGTGGTAAAACCCTTGTTGGCAATCACAGAGGTCAGATGTTTCTTGTAGTTGGCCACCAGGTTTGCACACATCTCAGGAGGGATTTTGTCCCACTCCTCTTTGCAGATCTTCTCCAAGTCATTAAGGTTTCGAGGCTAACGTTTGGAAAGTCGAACCTTCAGCTCCCTCCACAGATTTTCTATGGGATTAAGGTCTGGAGACTGGCTAGGCCACTCCAGGACCTTAATGTGCTTCTTCTTGAGCCACTCCTTTGCTGCCTTGGCCGTGTGTTTTTGGGTCATTGTCATGCTGGAATACCCATCCACTACCCATTTTAAATGCCCTGGCTGAGGGAAGGAGGTTCTCACCCAAGATTTGACGGTACATGGCCCTGTCCATCGTCCCTTTGATGCGGTGAAGTTGTCCTGTCCCCTTAGCAGAAAAACACCCCCACAGCATAATGTTTCCACTTCCATGTTTGACGGTGGGGATGGTGTTCTTGGGGTCATAGTCAGCATTCCTCCTCCTCCAAACACGGCGAGTTGAGTTGATGTCAAAGAGCTCCATTTTGGTCTCATCTGACCACAACACTTTCACCCAGTTGTCCTCTGAATCATTCAGATGTTCATTGGCAAACTTCAGACGGGCATGTATATGTGCTTTCTTGAGCAGGGGGATCTTGCGGGCGCTGCAGGATTTCAGTCCTTCACGGCGTAGTGTGTTTCCAATTGTTTTCTTGGTGACTATGGTCCCAGCTGCCTTGAGATCATTGACAAGATCCTCCTGTGTATTTCTGGGCTGATTCCTCACCGTTCTCATGATCATTGTAACTCCACGAGGTGAGATCGTGCATGGAGCTCCAGGCCGAGGGAGATTGACAGTTCTTTTGTGTTTCTTCCATTTCTGAATAATCGCACCAACTGTTGTCACCTTCTCACCAAGCTGCTTGGCAATGATCTTGTAGACCATTCCAGCCTTGTGTAGGTCTACAATCTTGTCCCTGACATCCTTGGAGAGCTCTTTGGTCTTGGCCATGGTGGAGAGTTTGGAATCTGATTGATTGATTGCTTCTGTGGACAGGTGTCTTTTATACAGGTAACGAGCTGAGATTAGGAGCACACTCTGAAAGGGAGTGCTCCTAATCTCAGCTTGTTACCTGTATAAAATACACCTGGGAGCGAGAAATCTTTCTGATTGAGAGGGGGTCAAAATACTTATTTCCCTCATTAAAATGCAAATCAATTTATAACATTTTTGACATGCGTTTTTCTGGATTTTTTTGTTGTTAATCTGTCTCCCACTGTTCAAATAAACCTACCATTAAAATTATAGACTGATCATTTCTTTGTCAGTGGGCAAACGTACAAAATCAGCAGGGGATCAAATACTTTTTTCCCTCACTGTAGGTATAAAAAATATTTATATTTTATTTTATACCTTCGTGACTTTACCGAAAGAACCAAAGAGTATAGAACTAAGCCATTTTAAAGGGGAGCGTTTTCAAGACAAACTTGTATGTATGTACAAACGTTGAACGTCGGTTTGCACCGTACGTAGCCAAGCATACTAATCAGAGGTGCGGGGGTGGACTGAAATATATCTAACAATTCTGATTGTCTTACTAGTTCCAAATCTTATGAGGTGCACAGTGGCAAAACACAATCACCCCAGGAAATAAGCGTTGACCTCGGAGTCCTTAGAGGAAGGCGATCCAAAGATCTCAGGGACCTCATTGGAGTGTAAAACATGGATCAGTTCCTGTGAATAGTGTGGGGATAACCCATTGAGTGCCTTGTAGGTCAGCAGCAGGATCTTATAGTCTACTCGATACTTGACTGGTAGCCAATGCAAAGATGAGACAGTGGGTGTGTGATGTGCTGCTCGCGATACGGCGTGGTGCGTTAGGACTCTAGCAGCTGCATTCTAAACAAGCTGAAGTCGACATGGCACCTCACTCGGAATCCCGAACAGTATTGTGTTGCAGGAGTCAAGTCAGGCGAATACAAAAGAATGGACAATTATCTTAACTAGGCCCCATCCCTTCCTAATTAGGCCCCACCCACCATAATTAGGAAGGAATGAACTCCCCATCAGGCAGATATTCACGGAGAGTGCTTGACTCAGAAGGTCGTGAGTTTCAATCCCAGTTTGGAATTGAGTCCCAAGCCCGGGGAATCCATGCAGGTTTAGGGAACATTTATGGCATGTAATAATCAGGCTGGTTCAGCAGTTCTACTGCTGGATAAAATTTTTTCCGCCTGAGGACGACCGCTTGTGTTGCGTCCGAAACGTCGTAATATATTATTTTTATATCTACGTGACTTTACCGAAAGAACCAAAGAGTATGGATTCCTGCAGTCATGAAAGCTTCAAATCAAGAATGTAATAATCAGCTCAAATTTGGCCTTGATATGAACAGGAAAATCTAATTAAAGTTATGCCAAAGTCACAAACTATTGGCATAGCTTGTATGCACATATATCAGCAAAGCCACTACCAATGGAGCAATTGGTTTATTTGTCATAAATGTGAATTGATGTGATCATAAAGGAATAGTTTTATGTCTAATTCCTCCTTCACAGAGGCGGTTATACTGAAGACCGTTAGGAGTTGCTAGTCATTGCGTGAAAATTAGACAGCTGATTCCTTTTTCAATGGCATGGTGCCATATGTCTTCCACCAAGTGTCGATAACATGGCCTGAAAGTCCTCTCTGTACAGCCAAATGTTAAGACACACTGTTGATCCAAGGTGCATTGGTAGAGCCAGGTGATTCAGAGAACTGTGAGTGTCTGCGTGTTAGCACCCTGCATGACCACTGCTGAGTAGCTAGGTTCAAATCCAGGCAGAGGTTAAATGTGGCTCTCAAATAAAGCAATATGGATGGTATTTGCATGGACACTAATCATTGCTAAAACCCCGCCGTATGAAATTAGGTTCGTCATTTAATCGAAATATTTTAGCCCTAAAAAACTAAAAATGGGTTGATTGCCAAATAATGAATCTTTGCATTGCTTTAATTTCACTGGTAGAGCGCTATTAGTTGAAAGATGATTTACAGCACGTGGGTCAATCCACTCCTGCACGAAAGCCTTTCCACAACAAGGCGATCATAGGGTTTTGTTTGACCATACTTCACAAATTCTAGTTTAGTGTGCATTGGTAAAGGGGATACCTAGGACCGGTTCAGACACCAGCCGTCACCGATGTTACCTGTGGCCACAAATCAGATGCAATTGACTGGAATCAGACAAGCATGCTCGTCACTGCACCACTGTTCCAGCATTTGTTTCATCTGAATTTTCGAGTGGCAAAAAAAAACAAGATTTCAAAGTGGCCTCTCGTTCGTGCGTATTCAACAACAACAACAGCCGCCATTTGCCACTAAGTGGCGGCGACGTCACCATGGCACCTGTGCCAGGCCGTGTGCACTGGGAGGCTACGTGAAGTGTCGAAGGCTCGCTGGTGGCAGGAGGTCACAACGGGACAGATCCAGGTGCCATGGGTTGACTGACTGAGATAAGTGGCAGATGCACCAGATATGCCCCCTGTACATTCAGAGGTGCAGACACGGACACGCAGACACGGACACGCACGGCGGAGCCCGCATTGTACCTGGACGTAAAGGTCCCTGAGCTCCCGCTGGAATTTGTCCGGGTCCGTGGTGATGGTCACGGGGCCGATTTCTGCACACAGGAAAATGAGGGAAGGAACATCTGCGTTAGCAACGCCTTCCCGTGACATCGAGGGTCATGTAGAGCAGCCACCCTCCCTCCTCACCCCACACCCCTTGCCCCCCACCCCCACCACCATAAGTCACGATGACACTGGAGCAAATTGTCCCATCATGAGCAGCACGCGGAAATTCCAGCTAATTAGCCCGGGGTAATCCACGCCGTTTTAGGGCACATTTATCGCGTACACTTATCAGCACATATTTGGCCACGGATCTGATCATGGAAAAACCTCAATTGATTCGTGCCAGAGTCGCGAACTGTTGACATGGCTTGCCTTCATTCACACATTATATCGGTCAAGCCGCTACAAACATAGCGTCTGTTGGCCTTGTCATAAACCTGAATTGATGTGATTATAACGGAAAAGTTTGATGTTGAACGCCCCCTTCACAGTGGGCGGTTACACCGAGGGCCTTGTGCGAGAGTGAAGCACGGCGCTGCGGTCACTGCGCAAAAATGTCTGAATTCTGAAGGGCTCGTAAGCATATGATGTCTGCGGGGCTAATAGCCCCACGGAGCCACAAGGGATTCAACTGCCGTCATGCTTGCCATGGTGTCATAAACAGGCCCTGAGCACTGGCCGAGCCTTGATTAAGGCCTCTGCTGCGGGGGAGGCTCGCACGTGCCGAACCACATACTCCCGTTGAAATGTTTATAAATCCAATCTTTTTTGGAAAAAAAAAAAATCTCAAGATTGGTGCCATATGCCACCGGACAGGGTGGACGCGTGTGCTTCACCATGCTGGGAATGTCGCATTTTAGCGGGAATTTGTTCATTTGGAGTGGGCGCTCTCTGAAAATGGTGCTGCCGGTAGAGCACTCAAGTAGGTCAGAAGATTGAAAGTTCAAACCTCAGTCAAGGGTCGGCTCAGTCCATCATCCCTCTGGCCCCTATAGCATGAGAATGTGGAATTTCCTCTTCTAGCTGAGGGCCATCACTGACGGAGATGAGTATTGGCCAGAGCATGGAGACAATTTGACTTTCACGTAATTTTTATCGCAATGAATGGCAAAGCCATTTTTTTCAGTTTATGGGACGTTAATAAGGCTATAACGATTGCTACATGCAGAACGTATTTATTAGTTTCTGGTGAAGAGACAGGGATTTCAAGCCAAGATCTCAGCAGTGCTCGTTCAGTCCTATGATATGGGAATTAACATTAACTTCTTGAGACATTTAGCCAGATCACATATGTCCCATTTTAATTAATTATCAATAAATAATTTAAAGGAAAAAACACTACACACACTGTTTTTTTGCACATCAATTAGGTCAGTGAAAATGTAAGAATGCGCGTTAAGCATGTATAGATGCATAGATTCATCTATCAAAATGTATTCTTCGACTCACAATACGTGCAATAGAATTGCGTGTGAGAGGGTTGAGTATCTGCACTCCTTAAAATGGAGGAAAAATAGCTTTCAGCTCCCGAACACATTGCTTCCATATGTAAGAACAGATGATATCCGCATGTTATATATGCAAATGATATGCCAATGTTCGAAATCAGGTAGTTCTTAACCTGGGGTGCATACACCCCCGGGGGGTGCGAGATGCCCTTTCTGGCAGTGCGAGACATGCAATATCTTTTTTAGACGGTAAATCATCGAAACACAAATTAGGCACGGGTATGCAAGCGCAACTACTTTGGTTCATCAAACCCTCTATTTATTAACATTATACATGTTTTATCGATTGAGACCAAAGGGGTGCAAGGCTGCAATAAGCGTTCAGAACCACTGTTCTAAATCATCCACGATCTATCTACTGCTGGACGAAGGCAGTAGATAGACGTTGCCACGCCACCTCTCGCGTTCCTGCGTGCTGCCACAATCCGTCTCGCTGCCGCGAAAGAGCTGCTTCGCATACGTTCAAGAAAGTCGCGTCGAATTGTAATGTGTCAGTAGTGGCATCGAACAAGCTTGAGAGAATGCACAAGCCTACGAAACGAATCGATGAATAGTCAATGGCCATCAACAATCCACCGCTGCCATGTCTCACGAACTTTGTGATGTTACAATTCACCTTCAGTAGCTCTTATCCCAAAGGAAATGGACATGCATTTATTTATCGATCTGTATTTATTTCTTACACTCGCTATAGATTCATTATTATTGTTATTATGCCATGCACTCTTACCTACAAATTATATGTTTGTCATTGCTAGCACGCAGGACTTGCAATCCAGGAATCGCCAGTTTGATTCAATCTTCCGGTGTGGCAGTTGAACCGATACACAAATTTAATGTGTCTATTTTGTGGATGCAAATTAAATGAAACATAACTTCAGACTTAAAAAAACCTAACAACCATTTTTCGGCAAACTAAATTGTGCTTTCACCACTCAAAAAAAATGCCTTTGCCGCATCGCCAAGGTTACCCAGAACAAATATTTAACTCTTTATGGTGGAATAAAAAAACGCGCGCTTGATTAATAGTCTTTGGGTTTTTCGGTAACGTCACGTAGATAGGTTCAAAGAAAATAACATAAAAATAACAAAAAACTACGACGTTTCGAACGCAACATAAGCATTCTTCGGAAGAACGCTTGTGCTGCGATCGAAAAGTCGTAGTTTTTGTTATTTTCTTTGAATCTATCTACGTGACTTTACCGAAAGACCCAAGGAATATTAATTCCTGCAGTCACGAAAGCTTTAAGTCAAGATTTGATTAACATCTGCAACAGTGGGTACATTGGCCCTACAACATGAGCGTGTTTACGCATGTTGTTTGCAAAAACAGAAATGTGTCATGAATTAAATTAAACTCTGGCAAGAGATCGCTCAATCGCAAAATTCCAGGCACTAGTTACCATCGATCGTATGAAACGTGTATTCATTCCAGGGTCTGTAACGCAAGCAATTGTCAAAGTCGGCCAAGGCGGGACTTGTGATTATTTTACATTTCGCCAAACACGAGTCACAGCATGCCTTTCATATCGCAATCATCATCCTCATCATCATCCTTGATCCATCCACTGCTGGATGAAGGTCACCCCTAGTCACCACCACCTCTGATGTGAACAATCCACCTAGCGCCTGCACATGCACTGATTTCATCGCTCCACCTCCTCGGTAGAGGCGCCGTTGAAAGCGCTCCATCCCTCGACTGCCACTCTCATTATTCTTGACCAATGGCCATCGTCCCCTCGGGACCTGACGCGTCCTGTTCATGTGCGCTCATATTTCCTGACAATTATAACGATCAGTTTTAACACGTAGGCTTTCGCGACCAATATCATCGATATAATACGTCGTACTCAGATTGTAAAAGTTGTAGATTTGCTCTCCAACACACCGGTGTACCGTACTAGCAACGAATTTGCATGTTGTTTGCGTGATACACCTAATTGGCTGTGGCGGGTTTAACAACACATTTATATTTAGGTGATCTAACCCCAAAAAAACCCCTATATTATGGAGTTTTAACGATGTCGCTAGCCTCCGTACGTTCTTCTCGATGCATTCCTCTGTCTCTCCGTGTCATGCCAAACGTGCATAGCTCCACGCGTCCTTGTGCGTTTTGTCACGTTTGTTTTTCCTCTCCAGTTTATATCTCAATATGCATTTGATTTCGTGTCATTTTTCCACTCAACGCAAAAGCACAATGTGCCTCTGTTACTGGAGCACGTTTCAGCACACGGCATATCTCCCACAACCGCTACCAGATGTCCTCCTCCCAGAATGCCGAGCCCCCATTTCCCATTGGTTTTCTAAATTAATTTATTTACTAATTCGTTTGTTTGCTCGTTTCCTCTCTCATTCATCCACATCGTGACCAATTTATGCAAATATATATTAAAAAAGGAAACATTTATACGATTCCCTCCATGGAAATGTGGACTTTCCACCCAATAGCTCAGGGCTGCCACCTAAAATTGAAAAAAACATCGACATTATCAACACCATTTATAATCGACATGGGAATGTAGTTCTTGTGTTGCAAGGAGGAAGTAACAAAATACAACTCAGAAGAGTCAAGCTATTCACAGCAACATACAAAAAAAATATGGTTTTGAAAGCAATTTGAACAGCCGGATGCAACTAGGAGTGTCTTGAGTAAAGACCGTGGACAGGGCCTAAATTTAAGGCCACGGTCGTCGACATCTTTGAGAAAGGATGCGGCACATACAGAGGGATGAAGAGTATTTTTCTTATTGTATTGGAGAAATAAAAATTTAATTCTTTCCAAAAAAAAGCGAAGTACCAACGCTGTTCGTTGTTTGAAAAACATTTTGATTACAATCACATCTGGTTTTGTTTTTGCACACTACAAAATGTTTACTTATAAACAGTGGCGTCACTAGGGTTGGTGTCACCCAGTGCGTAACTCATGGTGTCACCTCCCATGGACCTTCGCCCGTACTAGACCATACAGAATCCTTAGTAATGTTTGTTGTAGTGTTACTCATAAATCGTAATTCCCGTTTGTCACTGAATGTAATGGCAATAGGAGTGACGTAAACAACTAGCGAAATTAAAATTACACCTTTAAATTACAATATTTCCTTTAATTACGACTTCACTCTTAAACAAGTTATTGATATCGGTGCACAAATACTAATTACCACAACGTTGTAGCTAAAAACACCAGAAAATGTGATAAAATCAGCGACTATAAAAGCACGAGCAGTGACGAAAACAGCAGCGCGTGCAGACGAAACCACGTGACTCGAAGCGTCACTATAGTTGGGTAACAACGACGGCTCTGACCCGGAGCGCATTGGAAAGTTCAAAAAGTAAATTAGCATAGAGTTTTAGCCTTGTAGGTATATTGATACAGTACATGTAAGCTGGACTTACGAAAAATTACTTTGTTGTTATAACTCACTACAGGGATATATTTTTTTAAATAGTAGATTTCTGCTGAAACATTACACTGCACAAAAATTGTTATAGTCATTTTGGTGTCACTCCCTCTGATGGTGGCACCCGGTGTGGTCCGCTTA